TTTTAGCTTCCGGTTTTTGCTGCATCCCTTCTAGCCACAACCCTTGACTATGGCTGAAGGTCACATGACTGTAATAATGACAACGTGGTGAATATTCATACTATATAGAACAGTGGTTCCCCATTACGGTCTGGCGACCCACCACTCTGCACTTTTTGTATGTCTGTCTAAAACACACCTGCTTCAGATCATGAGCTTGTTAGTAGAGATTTCTATGAGTGTTCCAATAGGAAGTGAGCATCCCTATGCCTTGCTCACTCCAAAGGGAAGAGCCATTGAAGTAGGGACTTTGGAGAGAGCAGGGGACATCCGTGTCATAATAAAGCCATTTGGAAGGCCCTTGGCGAAGGGAGCAATGAAAGACAATGTAATTTGCTTATTATCTTCACCTGGAATGTTACAGCATTATTATTATTGCTGTTAATATGTTACAAATAAATATACATTTAATAATGAAGTTTTTAAAATATGCTTTATGTGTGTGTGTGTATGTGTGTGTGTTCCCTATGCTATAAAGCTTGCCATCTCTTCTTTGAACTCTTTGAACCACATTTACCCAACGCATCTACTATTAAACATATTTCTTACTTATGAAACTTATTTAAACTATTTAAACTTTACATGGCAAAATGTGTGTAATATATCACAGCAAAGCCAAACTACTTGAATTATTCATAAACGGTTAGGTAACACTTACAGTAAGGTCCAATTCGTTAACATTGCATTAGTTAACATGAACGGTTTGAATCAGACTCACTGACTCTCTGAATCATTCAGAGGCTTTATTGAATCCTCAGCTGACTCATTGATCACTTCAAGCATTTTCGTAATGTCCAATTTGAAATAACCTGTGGCTTAGTATTGAGGTTCGATTGTAACGTAATAAATTATATGGGAAACTTTGTATGAGAGTAAAACTGAGATTTATGTATTTATTTACAAAAAGGCAAAAAATCTTCTTGGTTGCACTTCATTTTAATAGTCTACTTTAGACATTTTACTAATAAGTAACTACATGTTAACTAATTTATTGAAGTAATAGTAGACTAATAGGTTAGGAATAGTGGAATAAGTTGAAGTACTTGCAAAGTTACTTACAGTCCGTAGAATATCTTTTGTGGGACCGTCAAATAAAGTGTTAACAATATTACACAGACAGTCTACTAACTACTCTAATGACTGGTAGTTGACATGTAGTTAGTAATTTGACTATAAAAATAAAGTGTTACCATATTCTTAAAAAACAGAGTGACATTTATATGGGATAAATACAATGAGGATTGCTACATTGACAGCTTTTGTCTCTTAAGGTGTTCCTGACTGTAAAGTATTATGTATAGAGAATGTACAAGGAATAGTGAGCCCATGTGGTGAGCCTGTGAGACCCTGATGAGTGCCATCCTCCTCCATCACACAGACACTTTGTGTCATTGGCTCTCAGCAGTGGCCAATCTGCCTGTAATTACTCTCCTCTGCTGCAGGGCTCTCTTCCTGCTTCACCATGGCTAAACTGATTAGTAATCTAAGAGCTTAGATCACTAATTAGATTACTAATCACTAAACTGATTAGTAATCTAAGTTTGATTGGTGGAGCTAATTGAAAAGAAATGATCACGCATCATTATTGAGTACAACAGCTGTATAGAGAGTTTACACTGGGGGCTTGGCTCTAAAGGACACCAAAGAGTTTCATTATGTGACTTGAGGTAATGCCTCAAGAAAAGTAACACCATTGTGCCCTTATGTTATTTAAGAGATGTCAGCTCCTGGCTGTTTGCGAACATTACAGAATTACTCCACTTGATCCCAGCAGAGCGGCTGCATTACAAATAAAACTATTCTGTGAGTGAGCCATCCTCCTTGCTGCTTTATGCATGAAGAGCAAGACCACAATGCCTGAATAATTCCCTCTCCATACATCAACACTTCCAAGGTTGATTTATTCTGTTCTGCTTAAAGCTCAAAGCTACTCAAAGAAGTGAACAGCAAAGAAAAATCACACCGTCGTTCTTTAATCTATGTTTTAACTGAGCTTTATCTGATATTATGTCATTGTAATAGTTCACTGTAATTATGTGCCTCATGCAGCATCCCTCCTACAGTTTATTATGATTTCTTGAGATGTAGTACACACTTAATGGAAGCCTACAATGTTTTATAGTGCTGTATGCTGTTACTCCGTGACTGCATGCCAACAGTTAAACAGACTGGAAAATAAGAAATGGCTTCAAATAATTCAAAATGACCTTAACCAAACCCTCCATATTTGATAAATGCATATTGCTAATAGCCTGGAACAAAGATATGGAGACGAAAGCCTGATCTTGCTCATGAGTGAAATGCCATGCGGTTTTCTATTTGAAAATGACGAAACATTTTAGAATTAGTTTTTTTTTTTTGTAATCTTTAAAGTTTAAGTTTAGAGAACTTTGCAGTGATTGCATTGTGCCTTAATTTGAACAATCTTCTGTTTATTTGACCTTCATGTCATCTTATTTTTTCTATAAGCCATAAACAATCCGAATATATCTGTCACGCCCCTGGACTCATTGTGTTGTGTTTTCCCTCCCCAGGTGTGCCGTGTTTCAGTTAATTAGTCATTCCATACACCTGTGTTCCCCTAATTGCCCAGTGTTTATTAGCCCCAGTCTGTGCTGTCTGTCTTGGTCTGAGATTGAACGTCAAACCCTGTGTTTCCTGTGTTCCTGTCTGCCCCGAGTATTCCCTTGGATATTTG